TTATTACTGGTTAGGAGCATCTCCGGACTTCCATACACAAAGTCATATGATCCACGTTCTATTTCAGTGTTCTCCACAGAATCTCTTCCAATGTATGTTGCCTTAAAACCGAGCTTTGTTAATTTAGTACACTGTTCAGTCATAATATTAATTAGAGGTGCAATAACTAACACGCATGTATTTGGGTATACAAGTGGGAAACATTCGTAAGTCAGTGATTTTCCACTACCAGTTCTCGTACTCAGGAACACGTCACGTCCTTGTTGAAGCGATAGTATACTTCTATTCTGCGTCTCTGTTATAGAGTCTAAATGGAACCGACTACAAATTTCAGCTTCTCTGTTTACACGTTTCGTAGAGGCCGCCATGTTTATCAAATATGAGAGTAAGACGGATTTTCATTGGATAAAAATTATTAAAGCTAAGGCACGTAACTCTTTACAAACCGATAGGCGGCGCGGTTAAAGCTACTAAATCTGCCAAGGGTGAAAAGAGAAACACCGTGGATCGTCACCCTTGGCTAGCGAAGATGACGGAGTTTGGGAACATATTGTTTTTACTTTCTCTGAATTTTTTCTTTGTTCTCCGGTACTTTTTTGTCCGCGAGTGTTCTCGTAAACTACTCATCCGATCTAGGTGAAACCTTTTTAGGGTCACTAGGTATGTTATGTAGATGTGCGGAACGAAGGTCATTTTGCGCGCACGTGCGTGCAGGTGCGCGCACGTGTAACACGTGAAATGACCAATATAATAGATTTAGCCGTAACTTTTTAAATATTGGATGAAATGCTTTGAAACTCATAATATAAGGATATAATAGTAGTATAGACATGATGATGATGGTCAAAATAGCAAGATCTCACGCGCATGCAGGTGCCCTTCGCTGCGATTGGCTGAAACTTAAAGTCTAAATATCTATTTTGTTTTCTGACAAAATCCTTTGAAATTTTGAACATAGTCTTACATTATGAAGATCTACAGCATGATATATAAGAATAATCATGAACGCACGCACATGCACGTGTGCTGCAATCTGATTGGCTAAAACTTTAAATGCCTACAACTTTCTTGGTTCTCAATAATACAGGGTGAAATTTCAAATAGGAATAGATATAATGATTGCCTACATTATACTACTATCAAAAGTAAATACATGGACGTGCATGTACATGCGACCGCACACAATGTATTAAAAGACAGTGTACTTGAGTGTTTGATGTTCATGCAGAATTAAGAACTTCTAAATGTCAAGACATGTAACATACTGAAGCATGCAGATCTTTTTACCCTTGACCTTGAAACTTAGGTCAAGGTCACTGGTAACCTGAATAAAATGTTGATATTAACTATTTACCAAAATCACCTTGACCTATGAACTTGAAATCGACCTTAACCTTTGTCCTTGACCCAAGGGTAAAAAGAAACATGAAGTACATGTACATGTATCTAGAAACACCTTTCAGAGTTTATTTCGGTTGACAGGTTAGAAGTTAAAGAGGTGGTGGTTTTTAATGACCTTGACCTTTCATCCAAATGTCACAATCAATCTTAAGTTCTTGGAATAAGATACAAGATTCAACTCCAACGTTAAATAGGTTAAGAATAAAAATAACCCCCCTCCCCACCCCCCACCCCCACACACACAAACAAATCAAATTAATGGCAACGTAGAGAATCACTGTTAAACTCAAATAACACCTCGGACCCACATAAAATTTCAGGAAAACTGCAGAAAAGAGCTCGAGGAAAGTGTATTAAAATATTTCATTTGAGTTTCCATAGAAATTATTAATTTAATACAGAAAAATTACAAATCCTGTCGTGTTTAAAATTAAAGTGCAGATGACCAAAGTTGGCATATAAGCCTTTTATAGCCTATTTATTCAGATGTCGTTAATAGCATTCGATTCTACTGATTTGAAATAATATTTTAATACCAAGCATCCTTTGTTTAATTTACCTTTGAAATTTATTTGAATTTTTTTTAGAATTACGCACCCTTACAGAAATTTCTGATAAGTGACTTATAAGTGATTTATTCTTTTACTTATAAGTTGTTTATTCTCGACTTACACTTCACTGATACATTTAACTTATAAGTGACTTATAAGTTACTCATTAGGATTTTATATGCAAATGAGCTACTTAACCTATAAGTGACTTATAAGCCAGTATTATAGCCACTTATGCTTTATGCAGTATAGTCACTTATAAGTGACTATAAGTGACTTATAAGTCAAGCATTAACCCTTCATACTTTATCAAGTATTAGTCACTTATAAGTGACTATAAGTGACTTATAAGTGAAGTTAAACACTACCTGTAAGATCTTAATTTAAAGAACAGAACTTCCAACCATGCAGAGGTTGCATGATATGTTCAAAGCTATTTTTTACATTTACAAATGTATCTGCACTTTAGATGAAATAATCAAGTAAAAATTTTATGGAAAAAAATCACTTTCATATGACATTTCTTTTATGATGCAAACTTAACATATTAATTCAGTTTACAAACAAGAATGTTGAACAAAAAGGCAACAAGATTTAATGACCTTGAGGCTTCTTCAAATTTATGAAATCTGAAAGCAACTGAGTCAATTGATTCAAAATTTCATGCAAAGGAAGTTAAAATAGAGAGATGATGTAAATAGAACCTACTTGTTGTACCTGATGTGAAGGTATACTCAAAATAAATCTAAAATCTCCAACATCCTTTCACAGACACAAACTTGGTTTCAAATTCTTGTTGCTGAGTCTGCAGAGACAGACTCTCTGATTGGCTACCTTTAATACCCATAGTGCTCCTTGAGAGAAGTCTAGTATAGGGTAAAAATTCTAAGTCCACACTTATACTTCACTCATACCATACTGATCTTCACTTATAAGTGAGGTATAAGTGAAATATTCACTGATATGTAGCTCATCTTTACTTATAAGTGAAGTATTAATGAAATCCATTCCTCACTTATACTTACTTTGACTAATAGTACACTTATAAGTAAATTTCAAAATTTATATGTGACTTATAAGTTACTAATAAGTGGATTACAAAACACTTATAAGTTTCTATTAGTTTTTTCTGTAAGGGCAATCCCCAGAAATAGCGATTTTCGGTATATTAAAAATCAATATACATGCCGATAGTCACGTGACAGGGCGAAGGAAAGCAGTGGCCTCCCTCGCTCCGTATTTTTTGACAAATTTTTGCTGTTTTCAAAGACTCTTTGACTCCAAAAATCACAGAACGATTTCGCCATCGCCTAGTTGTCGTATAGGACACTTCTCTGTGCAGAAATCGATTTGCATAATTGTGATAGTTTGGGATCTTTCTTTGTAAACGGTTCGGCTGATCGGTGAGTACGTGTTCACCTGTGTTTACTTGTTATTTACCTGTCGATTGTAAACTGACAATCATATGTCATAAACATCGGGAAAAACTCTTGTCTAAAGATGGAAGCATTATCTAAACCTGTCTATCTAAAAAATAGTGAAATTCAAACGAACAGAAACAAAAGAATATTTGATTTTGAGCTTATGCAATGTGTGATTCGCTCCGTCGGGGATATGGTACGATGCATACAGCTCGACCGTGACCTCTGGCGAATATATTTTATCGATGATGAAAGCAAACAAACATTGCTGGAGCAAGGGGTTGACATCAATAATCAAAACTTCAATGTCTATAACCATAATCCTTACACAACAGGCTCAAAATCCCCTGCAGATAGAGTTCTCAAAGTCACTGTGTCTGGCGTGCCTCTCTCTGTAGATGACAACGAAATTCTGGCAATGCTTAATAAACTAGGTGTAAACCTAAAAAGCGATCTACAATATGAAAAAATAAGAAATCCCGTGACCAAAAAAATGACCGGAGTGTTGAATGGCAACAGATATATATACATAGAGCCTCTCGCAGAAAACAAATTCCTACCCCGCACTAGCTACTGCGCAGGAATCCAGTGCCGCATCTATCACTTTGGTCAACCAAAACCACCGAAAAGAAAGTGTAGCATTTGTTGGAGTTCGGATCACTCCACCAATCAATGCACGGAGGATTCCAAATGTAAAGTGTGTCTTCAGCCGGGACATTCCCCTGGTGATGAGCAATGTCCGAACTTCACAAAAAAATGTCCGAATAACTACATTCTCTTTCATGGTGAAGAAAACGTATTATCTAATTTCTATCCGTGTCAACTCTCTGTCTTTGGCGAACAATTTGATTCTGCGGAACAAGCCTTCCAGTGTGTCAAAGCTATCCGATCCGGAGATCTGATGGCTGCAGATAAAATCCGAGCTGCGGAGTCGGCACTTGAGGCCAAACGAATTGGCAACCTAGTCACGACATCCGACACCTGGATTTCCACACAGGTGGAAGTAATGGAGGAAATAATTACAAAAAAATCGGAACAAGTAGAGGACTTCCGTGACTCTCTCGAAAATTCACCCAAAAGTGTCGTCTTTGCCGATACAACTTATGACGATTTTTGGGCCACAGGTCTCAATTTTAACCAATCCAAGCGTTCAAAACCCACAGCATGGCCAGGCAAAAATGTTCTTGGACAGATTCTTGGACGCATAGCCACGGAAATAAAGAAAAAACCGAAAAACAGGGCCAGATCAGGGCTACCTCGCCAGGATTCGTATAATAAGTAACAATTCTTATCTATGCATGCTTAAACGTTTAATTATGCACAAGCATTATCTCTTTATCTGCTTTTTTTTAATATGGAATACATAAAGTGTATTACCCTCAATGTTAGAGGGTTAAATGGTTATGATAAGAGAAATACATTGTATCAATGGTTTTATGACAACAATATAGATATTATTTTTCTACAAGAGACGCACTTTTGTGAAAAAAATAATTTTAAATACGATTCAAGGTGGTATGGCACATCCTTACATTCAAATACAGATTCTGCACATAGCAGAGGAGTATCTATTCTTTTTCATAAGAAATTTAACTTTGAAATAGTAAGTGTGCATAGATCTTTAGATGGCCGTAAAATATTGGTTAATCTAAAAGTAAATGACTCAATCATTACCCTCGTAAATGTTTATGCACCAAACGATGAAAAAAGTAGAATAGATTTTTTCAAAAAATTAAAAACGTGGATTTATAGATTAGCAATGAATGAAAATAACATAATGCTTGCAGGAGATTTTAATACAGTACTTAAAAAACAGGACAGACATAATACACAATCAACAAATAATGATAAAAGCTCAAAACAGCTAGAAGATATGCTTACTTACTTAAATTTAATTGATACATGGAAGACAAAAAATAAAGAAAAGCAAGGATTCACTTGGTGTGACGGAAACGGAATACCAAAAAGTAGAATAGATTTTGTATTTTTGTCTAA